CGGCATTCGGTCACCCGTCCCAGAAGGCCTGGAACGGACGGTCCACAGAAGGCAGCCCGTCCGTTCTGGCTTGCTGGAACGGACGGTCCACATGCATTTCTGGACCGTCCGTTCCGGCCTTTGGATTTTTCGAAAATTAAACCGAAATTAGAGTTAAATCACTTTATAAGAAGGAGATTAAACCCTAATGAAGAGGGACCGACTTTAGAACACTTTTGACAGACTTTTGGTGAGATCCAAGAGGTTCGAAGTGTGATCGAAGTCCCGTTTCCTCGAAGCACAAAACCGAATAAAAGATTCGGATCCTAGCAGATAAGTTCCTATCGTTGGAATCCATCCCGAGGTGTGGATACGTGTAGAGGGCGAGGTATTCTTCTTCCCTTTCGTGATCGAACGAATTCTTCAATTGATACAGGCCCCAGATCGATTGAGGTAAGCGTTTTTACTTTTCTACGATTCATAGAAGCATGGTTTTAGGGTTTCATAAAATTTTTGTTTTACATCCGCTGCGCAAATCCTAGAATCGATCTTTTAGGAATAGGATTCGCTCTTGAGATCCCAGGAAACCCAACAATTTACATTTTACAAAATTCTACAAATATTTTTATTGTTTGAAATAATCACATAGTTGATAAATTTTGCTAATCAAATATTTACATATTATCTAATTTTTTTATTAGAATAATATTCTAATATTTTTTTCTACCAACATGATTTTAAAACAAATAATCCAAATCAATTTGTTTTGATATTAAAAGGTTATATTAAAAATTGGATACATTAGCGATTGAATTTTATCGCTATATTGAGATATTGATGCAAAATCTTTGTTAAAAAATTTATCCATTAATTTTTTTTATTATGTCAAATACAAAATTAAATAAATATATATAATAACAACATCAGGTAACTAGTAAAAATACTCTTACTTTGCTATTTTGACTTCAACACGTACCCTTCTCCACCTGTGATCATGTGATCTGAAATATAGTGTGGTCGCATATTGATCTCATTGCTCATAATGTTAAATTTATGATGTTTTAATCAAATAATTAGTAAGATATATAAGGTATGATCATAATGAATTAGTATGATCACCATAAATTTAACGTTATAATCAATAAAATCAAAATGTGATCACACTATATTTTGGGTCACAGTTAGAAAAGGATGTATTGAAGTAAGAATAGCAAAGTAAATGCCAATTAATAAATATGATCAAAATACAAAAAATTTTAGCAGTGATATAACGATGAGTTGTCGATTTTTTCAGCATCACATAAGATTTCTATTTATCCATATGGACATCAGGAATTTTTGGCCAAAAACTTTAAAGTACAAGATTTATTTAGAACAAAATAATTGTATAGATTTTAGGATTAAAAAAATATAGAATTTAAATTGAGACAAAATAAAAATATAAAATTTTTTTTCTGCTCCTCCCTTATTATATTTAAGGATTTTTTTATGTAAGTTTTAGTTTAAAAAATAAATTATTTTTTCACAAAATCAAGCTTTTACCACAGTTTTAACCACTTTCTTGAAAAAGTATAAGATTGATATTTATTGGGGAAGTAACATGTTATGATACTTCGGAGTTATTTATATAAACCAAATTATCATTACGATAAAACATCGTTTAAAATAAATATCTATTTTAGCCAATTTGCAAAACACTAACACGCAAGGGAAGAGGCGTCTGCTTTAGCAGGGAGAACTTGGTGTTGCAGCCGACTCCTGAACCTAGTGTTTGGAGAAATAAACCAACGCAGCGTTCTAAACGCAAACGCTGCGTTTGGTAACATTACGGTTACAGATGGAAAAAGCTTGACTAAGAAGAAGAAAAAACAAAACAAGAATCAGCGTTTGCACAATTCTCCCCCCCCCCCCCCCCCCCCCTGCTAAAACTCAATTGGTTTGATCACTCACTCTATACCCCAAAACAAACAGGAAACGAAAACCAAAACAAAAAAGACAGTATCCGAAAATCTGTGTTTAAGAATCAATAAAGACAGTTAGCTTTGTCAGAACTTACCAAAACTGGCCGCTTGAGAGAGTGAGTTCATTAAAATGATCAGCCTTTGATGAAATGGTTAGTCAGAAGCTTGGAAACCGAAAAGCTGTTGAAAGTATCAACGTCGAAAAGTTCTTTCAGCTTCTCGTCGCATAATATCCTCCTCTTGTCCGAAGGATCCTGCATTAAGCAAAAAAAAAAATAGAAAAAAGAAAGAAAACCGAATCGGTAAAGATCATAACTGATAAAAGAGCTTTTGATCATATGATTATGTACTAATGATAATATAACCTGAAGATCGTTCTGTTTTATGTAATCCCAAAATCTCTTTGTCACATCTGCCCTCGATAACGAGTTTTCACCAGTTCCCAAAAACTTAACCAGAGCATCCGATAATGGGAGCGGAATAAGAAGACCCGACCCTCCTTTCTTCTGCCGTTTCTCTTTCTCCTCTGTCTCGTCGTCACTCTCTGTACGGGTGAAAATAGGTATATATATTTGGAACAAAACAGGAAGAGAATAAATACTTTCCACTCATCATAACTTACCTTCTTCTGTTTCCAGTTTTCGCTTTCCATTCTTCAAAGGTTTATCTGCAAATATAGTTAGTTCAAGCTATAATTAACACAAGAGAAATAATACTACCTTGGAAAAGAGAAGTCGAAACACTGGCAAATTCCATGAAAACAGGTCGTTATCAGACAAGAAAGAAGTGGAAAACAGCAAGGACAAAAAATTCCACTTTGTGTGCAAATATGGAAGTACAAAAACTTCCAAACAGAAATCCTAACATTTTGCCATTCGAAATTTAGAAAAGCTTGTCTCGGAAGTCATATATACATAAGAAACATATGCAGTTATCCTAGAGATTTCAATCATCTAATACCTTCATCCTTTTCCAGAGGCCATATGTGCTTGGACAGGTGTTTCGTCATCTGAAACATATTGATCGAATCAACTGGGAACAGTGAACGCAATGCTTCATCGCATATTATTTTCCGTTTATCACTCGGATCTTGCAAATTGTTCTCCTTGATGTACTTCCAAAGCCTTTTCACAACCTGAAATCATCGATGAAAATAGAAACAAGGGGAACCCGTCTAGGAGCTTGAAATATAGAGTAATAAGGTTACGTAACGTTACGTACCTCTGTCCGGGCTAATTCATTCACCCCAGTAAAAGCCTGAAGTTCTGGTGAAAGGCCACACACTTTAGCAAATCCACCTCCTCTTTTAGTGGTTTTCCGATCAGACTTTGCAGGCCTACTTCAGAGAATATACTTAGCTTCCCCACATAAAGGTGGAAAGTGATTAAAAAAAATAGAAGGATTTCAAGGCCTCTGTTCTATAACATTTGAACTGGAAACAGATATTAGAGTTCTAGACACAATAATCATGACAAAACTTAGACCAACACATACGGGTTGGAATATTCGCCTCATTGAATTGAATACTGAAAAAATAACCTAAACAAATCAGGAAGACTTTTATGGACATTTGTTTAACAATTCTCTCACAAAGTCATTATCCTTTATTGCCTAGACAGTTTAAATGGTTGTCACTACAATTACTAGAGATATTTCATCATGGTCATTAACATTAAACCACTGATGGTAGATATAATTGGGTGACAAAGTCAATAAATAAATTCACAAGATAGAGGAAGAAAAACTAACTTTCTTCTCTGGGCTTTTCGTACACTCCTATTTTCTTCTTCTTCTTCCCTTTGCGCTTCACCATTTTCTTCTGCTTCTTCATTTTGCTCTTCTTTCCCTTCTGTTTCATCTGACACATCATCCTCATCTTCTACCTTCACATTGTTAACGCCCCCTGATAAAAGAGTAATTCATATTTTCAGTTCCCAAAAGGATAGTACATATCAAGAACTGCTGTTTCCAACACAACTGATTAGGATTTTTATGATACCGTTATATGAAATAAAGCTGAAGTTCATTGGAGAGGTCTCTTGCAGAAAAATATAAGCATCCTAAAGTACAGCCAAATGCTGGGAAAGAGATTTGTTTCGCTAAAGATCTAACATTAAAACCCAGGTATTAAAAAGGAACAATATATCAACCAAGTTCTACTTCCACTCGGTGAAAAAGAATCAAAAGACAAACGAAAAAAAAATTCACTCAACAACACATGATGTATCCCAACGGCTGGGTACATGGTTTCATGCTCTGTCAGAGCAACATGTACTAAAACGAAGAGTGAGTAACCCTGTCCATTTGCCTTGCCAAGTGAAATAAGAATCAATAAGGAAGCACAAAAATCACCAAACAGAAATCCTAACATTTTGCCATTTGAGATTTAGAAAAGCTTTGAAGAAAAGCCAGTAACACTATCCATTTGCCCTACCAAGTAAACATGCATATGTTTCTTATGTATATAAGACTTCCGAGAAACACTAGAGATTTCAATCATCTAATACCTTTAACCTCCTCCAGACGCCATATGTGCTTGGATAGGTGTTTAGTCATTTGAAACATATTGATCGAATCAACTGGGAACAGTGAACGCAATGCTTCATCGCATATTATTTTCCGTTTATCACTCGGATCTTGCAAATTGTTCTCCTTGGCATACTTCCAAAGCATTTTCACAACCTAAAAAAATAGAAACAAGGGAACCCGTTTCGAAACTTGAAATAGAGAGTAATAATGTTTTGTAACGTTACATACCTCTGTCCTGGCTAATTCAGTCATCCCAGTAAAAGCCTGAAGTTCTGGTGAAAGGCCACATACTTTAGCAAATCCACCTCCTTTTTTCGTGGTCTTCTGATCCGACTTCGCAGACCTACTTCAAGGAATATACTTAGTTTCCCAATATAAAGGTGGAAAGTGATTTAAAAAAATAGAAGTATTTCAAGGCCTCTGTTCTATAACATTTGAACAGGTAACAGATATTAGAGTTCTAGAGACAATAATCATGACAAAACTTAGAGCAACACATACGGGTTGGAACATTCGCCTCATTGAATTGAATAATGAAACAATAAACTAAACAAATCAGGAAGACGTTTATGTACATTTGTTCAACAATTCTCTCACAAAGTCATTATCCTTCATTGCCTAGTCAGTTTAAATGGTTGTCACTACAATTACTAGAGATACTTCATCATGGTCATTAACATTAAACCACTGATGATAGATATAATTGGGTGACAAAGTCAATAAAAAAATTCACAAGATAGAGGAAGAAAAACTAACTTCCTTTTCTTGACTTTTCGTACACTCCTATTTTCTTCTTCTTCCCTTTGCTCTTCACCATTTTCTTCTGCTTCTTCATTTTGCTCTTCTTTCCCTTCTGTTTCATCTGACACATCATCCTCATCTTCTACCTTCACATTGTCAACGCCCCCTGATAAAAGAATAATTCATATTTTCAGTTCCCAAAGGGATAGTACAACTCAAGAACTGCTGTTTCCGTCACAACTGATTAGGATTTTTATAATACTGTTATATGAAATAAAGCTGAAGTTCATTGGAGAGGTCTCTTGCAGAAAAATATAAGCATCCTAAAGTACAGCCAAATGCTGGGAAAGAGATTTGTTTCCCTAAAAATCTAACATTAAAACCCAGGTATTAAAAAGGAACAATATATCAACCAAGTTCTACTTCCACTCGGTGAAAAAGAATCAAAAGGAAAAGGAAAAAAAATTCACTCAACAACACATGATGTATCCCAACGGCTGGGTACATGGTTTCATGCCCTGTCAGAGCAACGTGTACTAAACCGAAGAGTGAGTAACCCTATCCATTTGCCTTACCAAGTGAAATAAGAATCAATATGGAAGTACAAAAACTTCCAAACAGAAATCCTAACATTTTGCCATTTGAAATTTAGAAAAGCTTTGAAGAAAAGCCAGTAACACTATCCATTTGCCCTACCAAGTAAATATGCATATGTTACTTATGTATATATGACTTCCGAAGAAATCCAAGAGATTTCAATCATCTAATACCTTCATCCTTCTCAAGAGGCCATATGTGCTTGGATAGGTGTTTAGTCATTTGAAACATATTGATCGAATCAACTGGAAACAGTGAACGCAATGCTTCATCGCATATTATTTTCCGTTTATCACTCGGATCTTGCAAATTGTTCTCCTTGATGTACTTCCAAAGCCTTTTCACAACCTGAAATCATCGATGAAAATAGAAACAAGGGGAATCCGTCTACGAGCTTGAAATATAGAGTAATAAGGTTACGTAACGTTACTTACCTCTGTCCGGGCTAATTCATTCATCCCAGTAAAAGCCTGAAGCTCTGGTGAAAGGCAACACACTTTAGCAAATCCACATCCTCTTTTCGTGGTGTTCTGATCAGACTTTGCAGACCTACTTCAGAGAATATACTTAGTTTCCCCACATAAAGGTGGAAAATGATTAAAAAAAATAGAAGTATTTCAAGGCCTCTGTTCTATAACATTTGAACAGGAAACAGATAATTAGAGTTCTAGAGAATAATCATGACAAAACTTAGAGAAACACAAACGGGTTGAAAATTTCACCTGATTGAATTGAATAATGAAATAATAACCTAAACAAATCAGGAAGACTTTTATGGACATTTGTTTAACCATTATCTCACAAAGTCATTATCCTTCACTGCCTAGTCAGTTTAAATGGTTGTCACTACAATTACTAGAGATATTTCATCATGGTCATTAACATTAAACCACTGATGATAGATATAATTGGGTGACAACGTCAATAAAAAAATTCACAAGATAGAGGAAGAAAAACTAACTTTCTTCTCTTGGCTTTTCGTACACTCCTATTTTCTTCTTCTTTTTCACTTTGCTCTTCACCATTTTCTTCCGCTTCTTCATTTTGCTCTTCTTTCCCTTCTGTTTCATCTGACACATCATCCTCATCTTCTACCTTCACATTGTTAACGCCCCCTGATAAAAGAATAATTCATATTTTCAGTTCCCAAAGGGATAGTACAACACAGGAACTGCTGTTTCCAACACAAATGATTAGGATTTTTATAATACCGTTATATGAAATAAAGCTGAAGTTCATTGGAGAGGCCTCTTGCAGAAAAATATAAGCATCCTAAAGTAAAGCCAAATGCTGGGAAAGAGATTTGTTTCCCTAAAGATCTAACATTAAAACCCAGGTATTAAAAAGGAACAGTATATCAACCAAGTTCTACCTCCACTCGGTGAAAAAGAATCAAAAGGAAAAGGAAAAAAATTCACTAAACAACAGATGATGTATCCCAACAGCTGGGTACATGGTTTCATGCCCTGACAGAGCAACGTGTACTAAAACGAAGAGCGAGTAACCCTATCCATTTGCCTTACCAAGTGAAATAAGAATCAATATGGAAGTACAAAAATCTCCGAACAGAAATCCTAAAATTTTGCCATTTGAGATTTAGAAAAGCTTTGAAGGAAAGCCAGTAACACTATCCATTTGCCCTACCAAGTAAAAATGCATATGTTTCTTATGTATATATTACTTCCGAAGAAATCCAAGAGATTTCAATCATCTAGTACCATTAACCTCCTCCAGACGCCATATGTGCTTGGATAGGTGTTTAGTCATTTGAAACATATTGATCGAATCAACTGGGAACAGTGAACGCAATGCTTCATCGCATATTATTTTCCGCTTATCACTCGGATCTTGCAAATTGTTCTCCTTGGCGTACTTCCAAAGCATTTTCACAACCTGAAATCATCGATGAAAATAGAAACAAGGGAACCCGTTTAGGAACTTGAAATAAAGAGTAATAATGTTTTGTAACGTTACATACCTCAGTCCTGGCTAATTCAGTCATCCCAGTAAAAGCCTGAAGCTCTGGTGACAGGCCACACACTTTAGCAAATCCACCTCCTCTTTTAGTGGTTTTCTCATCAGACTTTGCTGACCTACTTCAGAGAATATACTTAGTTTCCCCATATAAAGGTGGAAAGTGATTTAAAAAAATAGAAGGATTTCAAGGCCTCTGTTCTATAGCATTTGAACAGGTAACAGATATTAGAGTTCTAGAGACAATAATCATGACAAAACTTAGAGCAACACATACGGGTTGGAACATTCGCCTCATTGAATTGAATAATGAAATAATAACCTAAACAAATCAGGAAGATTTTTATGGACATTCGTTTAAACATTCACTCACAAAGTCATTATCCTTCATTGCCCAGTCAGTTTAAATGGTCGTCACTACAATTACTAGAGATATTTCATCATGGTCATTAACATTAAACCAGTGATGATAGATATAATTGGGTGACAGTCAATAAAAAAATTCACAAGATAGAGGAAGAAAAACTAACTTTATTCTCTTGGCTTTTCGTACACTCCTATTTTTTTCTTCTTCTTCCCTTTGCTCTTCACCATTTTCTTCTGCTTCTTCATTTTGCTCTTCTCTCCCTTCTGTTTCATCAGACACATCATCCTCATCTTCTACCTTCACATTGTTAACGCCCCCTGATAAAAGAATAACTCATATTTTCAGTTCCCAAAGGGATAGTATAACTCAAGAACTGCTGTTTCTAACACAAATGATTAGGATTTTTATAATACTGTTATATGAAATAAAGCTGAAGTTCATTGGAGAGGTCTCTTGCAGAAAAATATAAGCATCCTAAAGTACAGCCAAATGCTGGGAAAGAGATTTGTTTCCCTAATGATCTAACATTAAAACCCAGGTATTAAAAAGGAACAATATATCAACCAAGTTCTACTTCCACTCGGTGAAAAAGAATCAAAAGGAAAACGAAAAAAAAAACACTCAACAACACGATGTATCCCAACGGCTGGGTACGCATGGTTTCATGCCCTGTCATAGCAATGTGTACTAAAACGAAGAGCGAGTAACCCTATCCATTTGCCTTACCAAGTGAAATAAGAATCAATATGGAAGTACAAAAATCTCCGAACAGAAATCCTAACATTTTGCCATTTGAGATTTAGAAAAGCTTTGAAGAAAAGCCAGTAACACTATCCATTTGCCCTACCATAACCAAGTAAAAATGCCTATGTTTCTTCTGTATATATGACTTCCGAGAAATCCTAGAGATTTCAATCATCTAATACCTTTAACCTCCTCCGGACGCCATATGTGCTTGGATAGGTGTTTAGTCATTTGAAACATATTGATCGAATCAACTGGGAACAGTGAACGCAATGCTTCATCGCATATTATTTTCCGTTTATCACTCGGATCTTGCAAATTGTTCTCCTTGATGTACTTCCAAAGCATTTTCACAACCTGAAATCATCGATGAAAATAGAAACAAGAGAACTCGTTTAGGAGCTTGAAATAGAGTGTAATAATGTTTTGTAACGTTACATACCTCTGTCCTGGCTAATTCAGTCATCCCAGTAAAAGCCTGAAGCTCTGGTGAAAGGCCACACACTTTAGCAAATCCACCTCCTCTTTTCGTGGTTTTCTGATCGGACTTTGCAGACCTACTTCACAGAATATACTTAGTTTCCTCACATAATAGGTGGTAAGTGTTGAAAAAAATACGAGGATTTCAAGGCCTTTGTTCTACAACATTTGAACAGGTAACAAATATCAGAGTTCTAGAGACAATAATCATGACAAAACTTAAGAGACACACATAAGGGTTGGAACTTTCACCTCATTGAATTGAATAATGAAATAATAACCTAAACAAATCAGGAAAAATTTTATGGACATTTGTTTAACCATTCACTCGCAAAGTCATTATCCTTCATTGCCTAGTCAATTTAAATGGTTTTCACGACAATAACCAGATATATTTCATCGTGGTCATTAACATTAAACTGGTGATGATAAATATAGTTGGGGTGACAAAGTCAATAACAAAATTCACAAGACAGAGGAAGAAAAACTAACTTTCTTCTCTTGGTTTTTCGTACACTCCTATTTTCTTCTTCTTCTTCACTTTGCTCTTCATCATTTTCTTTCGCTTCTTCATTTTGCTCTTCTTTCCCTTCTGTTTCATCTGACACATCATCCTCATCTTCTACCTTCTCATTGTTAACGCCCCCTGATAAAAGAATAATTCATATTTTCAGTTCCCAAAGGGATAGTACAACTCAAGAATTGCTGTTTCCAATACAAATGATCATGAAATTAATAATACCGTTTTATGAAATAAAGCTGAAGTTCATTGGAGAGGTCTCTTGCAGAAAAATATAAGCATCCTAAAGGACATCCAAATGCTGGGAAAGAGATCAGTTCCCCTAAAGATCTAACATTAAAACCCATGTATTAAAAAAGAACAATACATCAACCAAGTTCTACTTCCATTCGGTGAAAAAAGATCAAGAGGAAAAGGAAAAAAAATCACTCAACAACACATGATGTATCCCAACGGTTGGGTACTGGATTTCATGCCCTGTTGGAGCAACATGTACTAAAACGAGAATAGAAACTAGTCTATAACGAATATCAACAAGACAAAAGATTTTTTCTTACATGCAGATCTTAACTATGTTATTTCTTAAAAAATTGTAAAAACAATTACTGCCACAAGAGATCGTGACTATAGAAAGGACCCATTTTGAGATTGATAAACTTCTGCATTCTACCACAACTAACCTACTTAGAATTGATGGCTTATGAAGCAGGATAACTATGAAATTGTATCTTTAGAGTTTAAAATATGTCTGGTAAGCACACAGGTCAATGTAACTTTTACAGAAGCATTAGATTCACTGAAAATTTAGGAGGACTTTCTAAAATTGAACTACGAAATGGAAGAACTATAAAGCTCATAAACATATCGAGATGTTATCCGATCATGTGAAAATGATGAATTTGATAAAATGAAAAGAAAATACCATCTCCATCACTTAGCGGCCAAATATGCTTTGACAATGCCTTGCTCATTTGAAACATGTTAATGGCCTTTACTTTGAATAAGGAATGCAGCGATTCATCACATATTATATTCCGCTTGTTCTTTGGATCTTGCAAATTTTTCTCCCGGATATAAGCCCAAATTTTCTTCACAACCTGATACAAAAAAAAAGTAAATTAATTAAATCCACGCATAACTTTTGCATCTCTTCTAAAAGAAGATGACAATTGATTCTACAGATGACAAGACGGGACAATTACCTCTGTTCGAGCCAATTGTGATGATCCAATGAAATTTTCAAGTTGTGGGGAAAGCTGCCATAATTTGCTGAAGCCACCACCACGTCTTTTCTTGGCCTTTCCAGCCCTAATACATAAAACACGACAGGTGTTCAATGCAGGACAAGAAACTGAAGTCTAGTTCATAGTATTTTCATGTAAGCACTAAGCACAACAAGATATAGTGGATCCACATGAAAACATAACTATAAAGTTCTGCCAGAAGAACCCAAAAATTACTTACACAATTACAGCTTTTGTTAATAAAAAATCATCACACTATCATTGCACTCCTCCAGGGAACATTTCACCGATGCCTATTGCAGAGATCACATTAATAATGCCAACACAATTCGTGGTAACAGCTAAGGTTAGGAATCTAATAACACACCATGAATCCAGAATATGCAGGCGCATTGACACGAACCACCAAGATTTTTTATTTGTTCCTTCAGCTCAAACTCCTACAGTGTCTTAATAGTGTGTATATCAAACAAGTTCCTATCGAAATAGCTAAAGCCCTACAATCCAGTTCAACCTGGTTCCATTTCAATGCACTCGGAGAAGTGAAAATTTGGGTATCAGATCCTAATCAAAGCAACGAAAAGACTAATACATTGTTTGTTGGGTGATGATCAATATTCATCAAGGAATTCATAAGAACATATCCAAAAGAAATGAAATCAATTTTCCCATGATCACAAGACAAAGCCATGATTTTCAGTTGCAACCAAAAAGAAAAAGTCATAGCTTCCAAGGAAGAAAATTGTAATACAGATACATAGTTCCAACCAACCAGAGGGCTAATAACAGAACAAAAAAATTGAAACAGCGCAAAGGGAAAAAAAAAATTTACCGTTCTTTCTTTCCTTCATCGCCTTCACTTCCTCCGTCGTCTTCACCTTCACCGTCTCCTTCTTCCTTGGCTTCGCCGTCATAGTTTTGCTCAGCATTACAGTCTTCTTCCACCATCTGATTCTCCGGTTTCTCTCCTTCTCCGCCATCGCTCTCGAGAAAAGCATCGATTTGTTCCCTAATGAAACCCTTTCTCTCGGTCAAGTCAACGCCGAAATCGGCCTCGAGCTGACGTCGAACACTCGCCGGAGTCGCCGTGTCGAGGTCGGAGCTCCGGAGAATCTCCCGGAGCCGAGTCGCCAGGTCGGAGTCAGAAACCATTTTTCCGAGTTCACTTTTCTTTTTTTCCTTTGCAAAAGAAGAAAAGAAAAGGAAATTAAATGGAAATCCAAAACGGCTGTTAAAGAAAACGATGGTAGAGGTTGAGAGAGAGGCAGAGAGGGAGGGGCATTTACGGAATTTTCTCCATCAAATTATTAATTTCTTTAAAACGAATATTGAGGTTATGGAATTTCATCATAAATGGCTTTAAAATGCTATATGCGGTCCAAAACATATTTTTGAAATAAAATATCTTCATATAACCGTAATTTTTCGTATTTTTTTATCTTATCGAATTATATTTTTTCTTTTTCGCGTTTTCTCTCATCACTTCTACTACAAAACTTGTAACAAATTCAATAATGATATCAAAATCTAGTTTCTCTAAATAAAAGAAGCCATTAAAATTAAAAAAGAACTTATTTCTCTTTCTCGAAAGGGAGATCTGAAACTATAACATCTGTCATTGTATATCACTCTTTACACCCCTTTCTCAAGCCCCCATTCTTCTTCAATCTCCTAATCTCTAAGCTCTCCTCCCTAACTCGTGAGGGTGTTGTCTCTTCCCCTAAGCCAACAGCTTCTTCCGCTGAAGTAGTAAAATCTCCGGTGCTAGCAGCTCAAAACAAGGCCCAACTTTTTCAGGAGAGTTGAAGTCAGAAGATCCAGATAGCATTCGAACCTATCAGAAGGTGGGTACACCGAAAATTCACCCAAGCAATATGACTCTTATCAGATGAAGAATGGCAGGTTTTATAGTGGGATAGTTCTATGGGTTATCTCTCTCAATGGGTAGAATTATTGGTATTTCAAATGTTATGTGGTCTCGTGGTAGACCAAGAGTGAAGGTCCAAGACGTTGGGAACGATACTTTTCTTTTCAAGCTCTCCAACCTTTGATTGAAGAATTTGGTTTTGAGCAGAAACATATGGCATATAGGAAGCTGCCCAATATTTGTGTCGATATGGAGCAGAAACATATGGCATGTAGAAACATATGGCATATAGGAATCTGCCCAATACTTTCCTTTTCATCTCCTCGCTGGATACCAGGTGCGATGCAAAGTTTAACAGACGTATGAATTCTGACTCATACTCTTGGATTGTTCTACCTCCCTGCTGTAGGTTCAAGAACTCAGTGAGACGGCATTCTTGATTCTGTCGGCGGTAGTATTTCTTCTAAAATTCTCCTTTGAATTCCTCCCAGGTGAACTGATGTCCATCCGGCATTATGCCACCTTTGTCCACCAGTGTCGATCTTGCCCGGGTAAGTGATGGCTCGCTAGTAGGGCTCGATAGCACAGGGGGCAATGGACATATTCCCAGTCTCAGATCATGCATGTCAAAAATTCTTCTGCAGCCTCGGGATTCAGCGATCCCTCAAACTGTGGAGTATGCATAGCTCGTAACTCACGAACAATCGGCAGATAGTCCCTGCCATAGCCGGTGCAGGTGGCGGTGGAGGTAGTGTTGGTTTAATGCTCTATGATGTACTGCTACATGAGTTTTATTTGGATACATTTGATGTACTTACACTTTCTATGAGTTTATGGATGAGTGTTTTATTCATTACATATTGTGCATACTTATGTGTTATGAAATCCATGTATTGCTGTGAACAATACTAAACTCCCTAGTCATGTATCATTGTGGGAATAATGATATACCAAGACTAGTATGATGTGTGATTGATAATCATATAGATGATCATAGGTATTGGATACGATCACAGTCACAGGTATTCGTTGGAGAACGGAATACTGGAATGACCCGCATGAGATTATCACATGGACTAGCGTCATGACTTGAATCTCATATGGCGGTTCCATGATTGGATCCTAAGACCTGAGATTTCTACGGAATCACACATGAGGAGTTGCGTGCTTTGAATACGTCAAACGTCCTGCGTAACAGGAGGACTATAAAGGCGTGTATCAGGTACGTCACGAATCATGTGCTGGATTGTAGATAGTCAAGACGGGATTTGTACCTCTCGTAAAAGAGAGAGATATCGCTGGGCCCCTCGTGTGAGCGAGACTGTAGAAAT